ATCCTGGTGGGATGAAAATTGCAATTCAAAAAGTTCATCAGACATTGCTATCACAAAATTGCTAAAAGAAAATAAATAAGTGTTAAAATAAAATTATTGTGCAAGTCGTTAAGCGAAAACCTGCCATAATACGCCTCAATGAACTGAGATTTTATGGTAATCTTAGCAATTATGAGTTAAGTAGATATATCGTAGATTGTCTAATATAAATAAGGTACAGCGGCGTACAATATCCTAAAAACACGTTGCACGTTAATTTTAACCAATTTCACATAACATCACGCCTTTTATCCCCAAAGGGGTAGGCAGAGGTGCACATTATGCCACTGTACAATGTAACACCCACTTTTCACTATTTATGTTATGAGTCCCATGTAATTAGGGGTGAGCATATTGCCATATACCGGGCACAATTCCAGACTCCGTGCTACTATTGAGAATTTTTTTGAATCCTTACCAATTTCCAGTTAAAATTAAAACAATAAGAATGCGTTGAAGAGTCGGCTGGCATTTAGAGGTTGTCTTTTGTGACGCGCAATATTGGAAAAGTGCTGAGTGTCAATCTAACTGATTATAATGACCTCCTTACAGACAGTTATTTTAATCATAAGAGGTTGTTAACCTTGTTGAAATATAACGCATTTATAGCTAGATCTAGAGAAATTCTAGTACATTTGTTTATAATATTAAATTATTCATTTATTAATTATATTTTGGGTACATTATGATCGCATTATTAAGTCAGTACCACTGTACATTTGCCCTCACAGGCGTATGAAATATAGAATAAAAGTTTATGTTAATAAAGATAGAAAAACAAAATAAAAACGTCATAGCATATAACGTTATAAAAACAAAAAAAACTTGCATAACATATTATGATTTATTAAATTCATTTTTATAAGGGGAGAAATCAAGAAATCATCGTCAGCAATATTGAAGATTTAATTTATTTAGTTATCTAGTCAAGGAACAATACGACATTAATACTCTTTCTACTAGAAACTTTTCTGGTTTACCGACTTACAGATATAATATGGCACTTTACATAGAAAGCAGTTATTAGCATGAAATCCCCGCTCAAAATACAGGTCGACATCAGCTCGTTGTTGAGTGATGCGAAACGGAACAAGTGAGGATTACACTTTGCTTTGCTGAACTGAATCGTGGCGCTAGTGTCGTTTTGTGTCCACCTAGTCATCTCGGTTCGTTATGACGTCTTTTTGAATACGGTTTTCAAAACGCTAGCACAGTTTAGAATTGACTCTGTCACTTACTTTAGGGAACGGAGTCAATTAAGCACTTTGAGGAAGATTCAAAATCTTCCTATACGTTCATATACTTAGACATAGTATTTTTTAATACATATTATCCTCAATTTAAGTAACTAAATGTAGGTATTTACTTAGTTTTCCTCTTCTACATTACGATTACAATACTCAATATCCAAATATTGTATTGGTTTTTGGCAGTAGTATATAAAAGATTGCTTAATACTATGCAATATAATATTACCCAACCAAACCATAACATAAGTACCTATTATAATAATGACATGCGAACTCAAGTGCGTTCTTATGTGCTTCCTTTCGATGTAAGGGTCCCGTGTCAATGAGTTCGGACAAATATTTGGACGACATAGAGGGCATTGGCGTCGCTTTGTGCTTTCTATCACGTATTGGATGAGGGACAAATATTTGAAGCACAATAGTGCTTCGATCACATCACATGGCGTTATATTGGTTCAAAGTAAGTCATACTTTTCACAAAATATGATAATAATTATTATGTATACGTAGTCGATGTTTTTCAATTCAATATTTTTATTACACCGATTGTCATCATAAGAGATTGTTGTACACTATTTTTATACTCTAAACATAAATAAACTATACATGGGACTCATTGCACAAATAGTGAAAAGTGTGTGTTACTTCTGTGTACACCTCTGCTTACCCCTTCGGGGATAAAAAGCGTGATGTTATGTTATGTATTTCTATACTGTCAATTAAGTGATACATACATAGTGACAACATCTTCAATAACTTTGTTAACCAAAAGATATTCACTCTGGTTCGAGAATACTTTAATTTAAGGCATTTGTATTCTTAAATCTGTCAAACACCGAGTGGTCACCGGTGACCGCGACCTATTGTTCTTTAATTGTGTCTATAAAACCGGTACTCGACGAGTTAATAGCTTTTGTTTGTTCGTATGAATGAAGTTATATTCGCGTAGATACTGCCTATTCAATACAAGCTCTTATTAATGAATATACCTATATACATACAATACATAGATACATAATCTTAATAGTGATTATAAGCTGTCATCTCTAATTCGTGACGATGAATTGTGTAATAGCGATTATCGGTTCAGACATGTTTACTTCGGAGTGGAGTAAGAACATAGCGGCCTGCTTGTTTAATACATTTATTATGTATGACACGTCCAGTCATTCGGCTTTTGGCACTTTCTTATAATGAATTCTAAGTACCTAAAAGATGATGTGTGTTGTACATAAATATTGTAAACATGATGCGTTGTTGTTTTTCCCTAAAATTCTGTATGTGTGTTTGAGAAAACATGTGTAAAGGTGTGTGGCAGTACTTATATCCGTTTTATCTGTTCGTATATATATTACTAGCTACTTCCGCGCGGTTTTACACGCTTTGCTCAGCTCCTATTGGTCGTAGCGCGATGTTTTATAGTCTATAGCCATCCTCGATAAATGCGCTATCCCACACAAAAATAATTATTCAAATCAGACTTGTAGTTACGGAAATTAGCGCGTTCAAACAAACAAACAAAAAAACAAAGTCTTCCGCTTTATATGTATAATAGTATAAGATAAGATATGTAAGTACAGTTTGTTTGTCAAGTTTATGAATTTTTGATTTCGAAATATTTAGTTTATTTCACATGATTGTTTATTAAGATAACTACTCATAAAACAGCTGGCGAAAGAGGTCTAAAAGTTTTTTTTCTACTAATTAAGCTTACAATACAATAGTGTTACCTACAATTCTTTTTCACTATATATAAGCTCAGTGTATCAGGTAGTATGTAGGTATGAGGGCAGGCAGTTATGCGGTGCGTGTGAGCATAGGGGGACGCGGATTGATAGCGATCCAACTAAATAAAGATTTCCGCGACGACATCCGCGGGGGGTCCCGTCGACGGCAGTCCCACGTGCGCTTGCGCATCGCAACGCGAAAATTCCCGGGCTGTGATTGGACGAAAGTTTTGTTGTATGAAATTTCATGTTCTTTTTTTATTGAAGAGTTTGATAAAGGTGCCTTTACCTCTTTGAGTTGAACTACACAACGCTTAAAAAATTCCAATGCTATTTTGCCCGTTTCAGACACGAACCCAGGACCTTTTGCTTGGTAAGCATTCTTATAAATATATAAACAAGAAAGTATTATCATTATTTTCCTACTCTTAAGAGTATGAATCCCGAAAACGCGGGCGAAGCCGCTTACACAAAATTCAAGATAACAGGGCTTTATTCAACAGTGAAACGAAACGGGTTAATGATGAATTGATGATGATGTGAAAATCTGATAAGTCTAGTTCATAGTGATGTCCGTCAACATATTTAATGTTAGTAGTCCACGTGGTCTGATCTGAGACAACAATAGTCCACCTCGCTCTGCCAAGAGCTACTACTAATATTAACCGAGGAACGCGGGGCGGTCACACTACGGTACCCATCTTTACTATGTTGCGAGGAAATGTCCTAGTTCTTATGCTTTGACCTATATTAAAAACCTACTTTGATTTGCGAAATTGGTTCAATCATACGCCTGTAAATAATGCAGTTGTATGTATCTTAATTTTTTTTCTAATTATTTGGCGATAATATTTTTAATGATTTATGTAGCATGCGCAGTTTCATAATATGTAGAGTAATAGCTAAGAGAATGAGACATAATCTGTAGAACATTATACATATTAACCTATAAGTTCTAAGAAGTGTGATTACCCCCTTCCCCAGTCTCCCCGATCCCCAAATCCCCCACAATCCTGAAATTCCTAATTCCCAAAAGGCCGGAGTCCATAGACGACGCCGATTGCTTACCATTAGGTGATCCGTCTGCCCGTTTACCGGCTAATCCCATAAAAAAAGTTCATTCACAGTTAAAGGTACATTATTAAAATAGATAATATTTTCTCCATTATACATTTATATTACAAACAAGCAAATAAAGAAAAAAAATAACCTATACTACAATAAAAATATCCTACAAAATCTGAGCACGTATCGTTCCTACTCGACCCGATTTCATCGGCAGTGATACACATTGTCTCGTCATTTTATCAGCGCACGATTATTATGATTTATGACCAATCTCCTCCAGGACATTCCCAGGAACCAGATAGACCAATCAAGGCTAGATTGAACACTAATTAGTGATTTGATGTCAAATACATGATTAAGTTCTATCTTTGAGTTCTAGAAAATAGAGGTATAATGCATTCTTATACTTCAGAGCGGTAGATCAAAATTTTAGAATTAGCGACTGTTGTGAAAAAATGTTTTAGTAATTCTTCTTTAGGTAATTTGAAGAAAAAATCGTTTTAAGTCTAAACAGGATTCATCTATTCATCCAAAAAAGTATATAAAAACCAGCAAGTCCATTAAAGGTCTATGCTATAAATGTAATATACCTACCTTCCTAATAAAAAAAATAATTTATTTCATCAACTATTATGTACATACCAACAAAATATTAGGAAAAAACCTGTTAAGCAAGAAAATGCTTGTGGTAGGCGACCCTACTATACCAAGGACATCAGCTAAACATAAGTTTATAAAAATAAATAAAAAGAAAGAAATTTAGAATTAAACAATTATAAACTGAAAATTAAAGGGAATAAGTTATGTGAAATTAGAATACATTAGTTCGCACACTGAGTGTATGTAGAGTCCTAAAATTATACCGATCCATTAATCTAATAGCACTAACCCTTTGTCCACAGAAACATCAACCACAATGCCGCTCCAAATCCGAAGAAACCGCTGCTCCTCATTCGTGAGGGAGAACCTCCTGACGCTGCTGACAGTCATCGGCGTGGTGGCAGGAACTATCCTGGGATGCTGTCTCCGAGCTTCAGGGCAGGAGTGGTCCCGGCGTGACGTCATGTACTTCCAGTACCCCGGAGAGCTGTTCTTGAGGATGCTCAAGTCCCTCATAGTTCCTCTGCTCGTCTCCAGCATTGTATCAGCTATTGGATCTCTGGATTTAAGCTTATCTGGCAAGTGAGTCGGGTTTTATTTGCAAGCGATTAATTTATTGGTGATTCTTGTGGAGTTATAAGTAGGATTGGACATTATTCCAAAGTTTTTTAAATTTCAAATTTAAAAAACCCTTGGTATAATGTCGGTAATAGTGTAATGTTTGGTAATGGTTTGGTATAACGGTATAATAAATTAAAGTGGCATAAACCACTGTCGTATCTAAGGATTCTTCAATCAATTAACTCCTACTTTCTTCTAGGGTTGGTCTCCGTGCTATCATATACTACATGACCACGACGATATGTGCCGTAATGCTGGGTATAGCTTTGGTCACCACCATCAAGCCGGGCAAGGACTCCGAAGACTACACCCAGCCGAACTCCACCAAGATCGTGGTGAAAGACACCCTCACATCCGATACATTGCTGGATTTGATCAGGTTAGTGGAATTAGGGATATTCTAGAATGTTTTTTAACTCGTCGAGTACCGGTTTTATAGACACAATTAAAGAACAATAGGTCGCGGTCACCGGTGACCGCTTGGTATTTGACAGTTTAATTACCTGAGCTGGTAATATGTATGTAAAGCTATTTAAGTATTAAGTAGTTTCGTAGTATGATTTGAAAATTCGAAACATTTTATTCAAGTACGGTATTTTTTGTTCTTCACTCACTTTACCTACTCGTTTATAAATTCAGCCAATCAAATCAATAGTCTGAGTAGCATATTCAAAAATAATTATAATAATCACTTACACGTGGAACTTGAGAACATCTTGAGACATGTTTTTCTTCGTTGGAATTATTCTAAGAATACTGGCAGCCATCTAAAGTTGCCATAGAGAATCAATACTCGTGGGTTGCAAGGCTATCCGTTAATATTTTCCTCGTATTCAGGGAAAAAGGTATATAATATGAAAGTTATACGGTATAAAAGCAGAAATGCAAACGTAAATCCTGCTTAGCCTCCTTTTGAGGGAATACTTTTTGATACAAAATGGCGATGGATTATCCGGAGCAATTTTGTAGCGATCTTTTCTTGTAATAAAACCCGGACACGACATTTTGTTAATTGTTTTCTTTTTATTGTTATTCTGTCAGATTTCATCTTATATATTTTTTGCTCTACAATGATTGCTAGATGAAACGACTGTCATATATCATGAGAACGGAATAAAAGTTATGTTCTTATTCAGAAAATTGTAACAACCACAGCTCATACTCAGCTTATAAAACTCAACCATTAATATCCTTTAGAATGAAGAATCTTTTCTTAATTCAGTCGGGGAATCCGACTCATTTTTTGCAAACAAACTAAAACAAAATTGCTTAAACAGTTCTAGAGCATTCTACTATTTTAACTGTCGAGTATCGTAACATATGACGCAGGATCATTGGCTTAATTCTCTTAATAGGTGTCACATCACTAGTAATTTCGCCATCCGCCTGACCCGGGCCAAATTAACTCGGCAAATGATATGTATGATTTAAATGTAACGTGTTTTCGAGGTAACTGTGTTAATTATGGCGGCGTATCCTATCTCGATACGGGAAAAGGTCAAAGTGCATGAAATATCATGTGAAATTGGGTAACTCGAGTATGCACATATTTTAATGAGCTTCATATTTTTTGTTAATATTACTATCGTGAGACATACTAAATTAACTAAAATCGCGAGTTACTTACGTAAATATACTGAGGAAAGCTATACGCGGCGACGTCGCCGCGACCGCGCAAGCTGCTCATGAGGAAGAACCCCTTTGTGGTTTGAAACTAGTAGAGCTTTTTTCAGTATATTCACGAGAGTAATCCGCGATTTTAGTTAATGAACTTCATGACATAATTCGGGAATCGCGATAGTTTTAAAATCAGTCACACACTGAGTATAATTTCGCTGATTTACCTAACTGTAACCCTCAAGACGTCTAAGTATTGGTGTTTTGGCAAATACTCTCTAAGGACCTGAGCAGAAGGAAGCTTTTCCTTGCTTGGGGCGTGATCTACAGTTAGTACCGAAACCAAAAATATAGATTTTAGAATTTTCGGCTGTTTGTCTGTATGTATGTCCGAGATGAACTCAAAAAGTGATGTATGGATTTACATCAAATTTTGCATGAATATTACTGACTGTTAGTATCAGGCTATCAACTACGAGAGAGGAGCTGTGAATCACTATTCCACGCGGATTCCACTATAACAAATGCAGCAATAAATGTACATAGTTATGTTTTTGACGGTATGCTGGGAGATTTACTTGGGCAACTCATTGCTGGATTCCTTCACGGAACTATTCTTTATGTGGTCCTATAAATTGTAATCCTGGGTATAGGCCTTATGACGTAGCGTCGGTCGATCTATAAACATAACATAACATAACATCACGCCTTTTATCCGCGAAGGGGTAGGCAGAGGTACATCATGCCACTGTACAATGTAACACCCACTTTTCACTATTTATGTTATGAGTCCCATGTAATAGGGGGTGAGTCTATTGCCATATACCGGGCATAATTCCAGACTCCGTGCTACTACTGTGAATTTTTTTGAAAAGCCCATTAATACTTTGCCCGACCCGGGAATCGAACCCGACCACTCAGCCAATGAGGCAGTCAGATCGATAAAATGATATGAAATCCAGTGCTAACAGAATATGAGTGTAGCATAGCGTCCTGCACAGATCAGAGGTCACGCAGTTGTCGCTATCGACCGTAATTGCCCGTCACCTGATTTATAGCGTTATTGCTCACTCAGAGCCACTCGCTCAAACGTCAGTTGTTTTTTAACATCTTTCATCCTTGTAATGGTGAAGATTAATTTGTGTTTGGTTTTATTGTCTAATCACATGATTTGTAATCAGAATAAAGGTAATTTTTTTAGTGTGGGAGAGCCATGCTTCCACACATATATGGGCCGGCTCGACCGTAGTGATACCACGGCCTCACAGAAAACCGACGTGAATAAACGCTTGCGTTGTGTTTCGTCGTGTGAGTGAGGCCCGGAGGCCCAATTACCCCCCTCCCCTTCTCCAATCTCCCCAATCTCTAAATCCCCAACGATTCTCAAACTCCAAATCCCCAAAAGGCCGGTAAAGCGCTTGTAACGCCTTTGGTGTTCCAGGTGTCCATGGGCGACGCCGATTGCTTACTATCAGATGATCCGTCTCCTATACAAGTAATAAGTATGCTGTTTGATGCTAAAAAACGTGACGTCACAATACATAATCTCGTGCAAAATTCATAGAAAACTATCGTTTTTGACAGTTCGAAAAAAGTATTGAATTTGACTTGTTGGCAAGTACGCAATTTACGTAAGAGTCATCGCGTGCGTGTCTATGGTACACGTTCTATGCGTGAAACATGGCGGTGTAATTGTCAATTGCAGGCCGGTGAGAGGAGCGAGGTGCGCGAGGTCCACGCTCCTTGTTTTTCCCGCTTATTTAAACTGTGTCCTATATGCACGTTAGTAGGGTCGGCTACTGGCAGTCGTGACTGATAAGAGATGTATAAAAAGAAAACACGTGAAAGTTCATTGGTTCGTCTATGCATCACATAAAAGTTAAATTCTTAGGATTGTCTAACTGTACAATAGGCTCACCCTCTATTACATGGGACTCATAACATAAATAGTGAAAAGTGGGTGTTACTTCTATGTGCACCTCTGCCTACTCCTTCGGGGATAAAAGGCGTGATGTTATGTTATGTTATGTCTAACTGTCTAACTTGAAATTCTAAAGTTTAATTGTGTTCAACAATAATCAAGAACGGATTTCAACCTTAAAGTTGACCATATTTATATATTATGACCTTGAATATGAATTCATAAAAATGAATATTCGCCCATGGCACTAGGCATTCACTTATGAGCAGTTTTAAAGCATTCTACCAGTTCTGGTAGTCACTAAGTTTACTAATATGGTCATGGTATATGAATATGGTCAACTTTAAGGTTGAAAATCGTTCTTGATTCCACGTATTATTGAACACTTGAAGGAAAACAAATTAGTGATGAAAGCAAGTAATTATATTTTTGCTATCACTTGGTCTCTGTCTTTAGACATTTATGTAGTCAAAGGAACTGTACAACACTTAAACAAAAGCAAAATTCTAAACTATTCACAAAGAAAATACACACGTAAGTATACAATCCAAAATGTCGTACCTAAGCTTAATTAGTTAATAGCTTCGGTCCCAAGAGAGAATAGTTAACAAAAGGTCGTTAGTAACATCTCCCACGAGACGACAAACCTTTGGCAAGCTTCATTTACTATGTACAAATAAGCACTTTATGTTGAGTAAGGTAATGTTCTGTTTGTAATGTCACAAGAATTGAATAGTTTCGATTAAGTTGTTACGTGAAACAGGTAGTATTATGTATTGCAGTATTACTATTCTATATCTACTACTACTCTTCTATATATTGTACAATAAGAAAAATAAACGACAATATCAGAAGTTTACCCATTATTTGTATCAACACGTTAAACGCCAAGGGAGTCACGGGCGAACGTCGCGTCGTCAATAGTCAGAGCATTTCTTCAACAGTTTTCTAAACTAAAGCATTTTTAAGAACTATAGGGGCTCGATAACAGCTCACACATAGAACCCACTTTGTTTTTATTCAAATTCCCGTGGTGCTTGGCGCCTGGGCTTCACCCAGTTGTACAGTCTCTTTTTTGTGCCTTTAGGCTTAATTAATTCTGTCTCCTTCAGTAATTCACCGAGGGAAGTGGAAACTATCGTTTTTTTTTCTTCTCCTCTTATATCTTCTGATTCACTTCGTTGCGGGAACCAAGACAGTTACTCATGTCCCTGGGACGCGCCGGACTTCAGTGTTCCGGTGTTTTCATGGTTTGGTTGTATCTACTGTAGATCCTGGCTTACAGGAGTTCAGCGGTTTTGGTAGGTTGTGGCGGGCTTGTCCCTTAAAACAAAATATAGGGGCTCGATACATATTAATATGTGCCCAAAAACCAGTATAATACGTACATACGTGTACGTTTCTAGCAGTTGACAGCCCTAGTAATAGCATCAATGAAATAAGACTATAGTGTTCACACGACTGATGCTTGGATGCGAGGTGACAGTACATCAGGTGTTGTTACGTCACTACAATCAGATTACTCAGAATACTACACTGACTGACGGATTGGGAAACTCTATTACGTACTAGTAATTGAACTATTCGTGGAATATGGCGTAGAATATATCAGTCAAAATTTCTTCAAGTTCTGTCAAGCTTCCATTAACCCGTCGAACGTCCGCGTTCCTTATGCATTTCCTGTGATCCACCGGGTGCTCATGAGGACGCTCGAGGGGTTAACATAGGCTATAACGAACCACCTGGATCACAGCTAGACCATCGAATGCTACTGCCCCTTTCTGTCGCGGAGAACCTAACGGGTAACCGGGGCTCCGGCTCGACGTGCAGCAGAAGGAACGGGGTGGTTTTTAGTCAGTAAGAGTCTGACACTCCCTCCCGTCTCACCCAGGCAGGAGTAGCCATTCGATGATTTTCCCCCCTTAAAAAAACTGCCCCTTTCTAGGGGGTTGATTGCGATTTTAAGACATACCTAGAAAGATCCAAGTCGATAATTTATCTGGGTGATGTTATTTCGCTTATCTCGATGTCACATCGACGTTGGTATATAACATAACACAGGGTTACTCAAACTTTTGGTACCACGTACCCCAGTTAAAATTTTCAAGTGACAGCGTACCCTTAACTAATTAATTGCTCCCCCCCCAAAGAAAATAATAAAATTGACTATTCGAGAAAATAAGGTTTTTATTTTAAATAAAAGGTAACAAACATAGTGCCAAAAGAAATGTCTTTTTAATATTAATATGATGGATGTGCTTGTTTCTTGTCGCAAACAGGATTCAATTTTAGGTGTAATTTTGGTCAATTTTAACATTACGTTTTGTCGCGTACCCCTTGCCCTCGAATGACGTACCCCTAGGGGTACGCGTACCCCTCTTTGAGAAACCCTGACATAACATAACATCACGCCTTTTATATCAGTAGGCAAAGGTGTACATTATGACACTGTACAATATAACACCCACTTTTCACTATTTATGTTATGAGTCCCATGTAACATGGGCTGAACCTATTGCCATATACCGGGCACATTTCCAGACTCCGTGCTACTACTGAGATTTTTTTTTAAACCCAGTAATACTTTGCCCGACCCGGGAATCGAAACCGAGACCCCATGCTCGGCAGTTGCACTTGCGACCACTCGGCCAATGACGCAGTCGTTGGTATAACTTACAAATAAATGTAGACTCCAACGTAAGAGATCACCCTGATCCATAAAAACACAATATTAGGCTTAAACAATTGCCCCCATTGAACCTTTTTCTGCTCCTTGGCCCTCAGGGCACGCCGATAAAAGTATTTCGGTGTCTCTTCACTTCCAGCGGTTAATGTACCTACCTACTGAAATCTGATTCAATTTGTTCCAAATCCTATTAGACTGCGTAATTTTTCGATGGAACCATTTTCTTTACATAATATTTTGTTACATTTCATTTTTGTAAAGAAAATGTTAGTACCTACTCACTTTTTTTGCTTTTCTATGAGTATAATTTTCCTGTTATGTAGTTATATCAGAACAGGGGTAGTGGAATCACAGATTAATTTATTATGATGTATTTTCTTACTCTTTTACTTTAAAATTGTGATGAATGATGTGTATATGTGGAAATCAGAGTAACAACTGTTTTTAATAAAAAAACTAGCTGAGCCCGCTAGCCCGCTACTTCGTCCGCGTGGTATAGTGATTTACAGCTCCTCCCCTGTAGTTGATAGCATGATAATATGTGGCCTATATTTATGTTGACCCGACCTGTAAGTAATATTCATGCAAAATTTGAAATAAATTCAAGCAGCACTTTTTGAGTTCAACCGTTCATCCCGGACATACATACAGACAAACAGACAAAAATTCAAAGTTTTTAGAATTTTTGTCTGTTTGTCTGTTTCGGTATACACTAGATCACACCACAAGCATTCTTTTAAAAAAATATTCGATGTACAATTTTCACTTTGCTACGATTTTATACATATATGTATAGACTAGCTTCTGCCAGCGGCTTCGCCCGCGATCCCACGGGTAAAATGCCTATGTATCACTTCAGACCATAATCTACCTCTGTTCCGAATTTCATTCCGGTCCCTTCAGTCGGTTTAATATGACTGAGTAACAAACATACACATAAACTCACATATTGAGTCAAGCTAATTTCAACCATTGGCCTTTCAGTTACAGCGTAAAGTCTATGAATGAGTATTGTAAACGTTAGAGTAGACAAATACAATCAGAAATCACCGAATTGCTAAGCTATCGGGAGTTTCACGTGTTATTGTGAGTCAACCATAAAAGATAGACATATGCTGTCGAGGAATATTTTTTATATAATTTTAAGGAGAATATTTCTGTCATACATGATTTCTATGCAGCTTTAACCTATAAGCCTGCACACGCGACGGAAGCTTAAAAAATGGAGTAACTTCTCCCGTTTTCCCAATATTTCCCTTCACTGCTCTGCTCCTATTGATTGTAGCGTAATGAAAAGTATACTATAACCTGCCTAAGAGTATGAAGAATAATTGTGCTAAATTTCGTTAAAATCCATCGAGTAGTTTTTGTTTCCATAACGAACATACAGACAGACAGACAGACAGACAAAAATTTTACTGATTGCATTTTTGGCATCAGTAGCGATCCCTAACCACCCCTTGATAGTTATTTTTTAAATATATTTTATGTACAGAATTGACCTCTCTACAGATTTATTATAAGTATAGAAGATTACTTTTTGGAAACCACTGGACTGTAATTATGATGGAGACGGTACTCATGTTATGCCACGAGACTTTATGATGGACAGTTTCGAAATTGTAATAAGAACACAATAGGGCTTGCTCTATCTGGGAGTCCCAAAACCTCATGTCGTTCAGTTTAGTTACCAGCTACTAGACTAGAGAACGTCTCAAGTAGCATCATAATTCGGCATAGGAAAGACACACTGCTATTATAAGACAAAAATAAGTCTTAATATGGGGAGACACGCACGTCGTGAGTAAGTGGGTTAATCGTCATTCATAGATGTTCTTTGGCGGAGGGCCAGTTCCTAGGACAGCATATCAAGCTCACCGAATCTGTTAAAATAGAATTTCAACCTTGTCCTTGTGCAATGAAGTTGAAATTCATTAAGTTTGGGGTAGTGGGATGTGCTGGTGGTTGTACAATTTATGCACTTTTGCAATCTGAGTTGATATTGTGAGTTCAAGGTCATTCAACTACACGTGTGCGATCTGTCGTATTCAGAGCGATAGTGAATAGAATTTGTCATCAGATTATTCATTGAGAAGGTTATTTTGTTCGTAGTTACATCACAGTTCTATGTATTGTAGTATAGTACCTATGTATTGTATGCGATGTTTGTTACTGATTGGTCTGCTACTCTAAAGACATTGTTAAGGTTCAAATATCGAATGTGATGTTTAGGGAGATACTGGAGTTGATTACGCCTATAATGGGTTCACTACGCCTATAATATATGGATATTATTGAGTCGTCATTGTGCCTACTTGATAAAACTGGGTATAACGTTAAACTTACGGATTGAAAATATTGAAATCGAAAATACTTTACTAACAGTACTTTAAGTATTTAAGAAGAAAAATGTTTGGTTATGAAAATTTCTTTGTTTTATTACAGAAACGTGTTCCCTGAGAACCTTGCGCAGGCGACGATCGCGACCTACCGCACGAGGCTCGTTTACGACAAGAACGATACTAATAGTCGACTTGGTAAGAATATTGCAATGTTTCTATCCCGGTTTCTACCTAAGCTGTTCATCTTGAAAGGTGGACCAAAAAATGAAGGAAACGACTTGGAACCACTCATTGGTTTAAGTTAACGATGTCTAAGATTATATGGACTGTCAATAACTTTATAGGGTGTTCAAAGGAATTTAGCTTTTTTCTAAATTTTTTCAATTTGATTTGCATGCTCATTGAAGACAGTATAAATAAAGATAGAATAAAGATATAAATAAAGCTGAACCTGTTGTCTCCAGTCCATTAGGGGTAATCAAATACGATTTAAAAAGTAACTAAATCAGTAAGCCCACTTTATGGCCGCGTGTTCAGACAATTTGTGAAGACTAACTGGACAATGAGTTTTATTGCAAAATGATGATGAATTACTCTTCTAATTGTGAACAAAAGATTTAAAGACCTTACAAATAGAACAGTTGGCTTCAAGTCAAGCACTTGTGTAGTCTACCTACCTATATACATTATCCTACTTCTTGTCCTAGTGTACTCTTCACCTTAGGACAAGCCTACTGAAAGTAATTGTTCGAGAAACAATTTCAGTATGAAGTTTTCTCATCTTTACTTAACAATGTTGACATAAAATAGGGTAGTTCCTGTTTTTTTTATGGCATAAGCGGGTAAACGAGCAGGCGGATCACCTGATGGTAAGCAATCGGCGTCGCCCATGGACTCCTGGAACACCAGAGGCGTTACAAGTGCGTTACTGGCTTTTTGGGGATTAGGAGTTTGAGGATCGTTGGGCATTCAGGGATTGGGGAGATTGGGGAAGGAGAGGGTAATTGGGTCTCCGGTAACCTCACTCACACGACGAAAAACAACGCAAGCGTTGCTTCACGTCGGTTTTCTGCTCGGCCGTGGTATCACTCCAGTCGAGCCCGCCCATTCGTGCCGAAGCATGGCTCTCCCACACTTAAAACCGTACTTTGTCCATAAAACAATCCAAAAAAACGTTTACTTTTTCTGTAAATTTAAATGCGTATTTCTTGCATATTCCAGGTGAATTGGAAACATATCAGATCACGGGCGAGTACCAGAGCGGCAGCAATGTGTTGGGGTTGGTGTGCTTCAGTATCGTGCTGGGCATCACCTTGGGCAAGATGGGGGAGAAGAGCCGGCCGCTGCAGGACTTCTTCCACGCTTTGTCTGAGGCCATGATGATCATTACCGGATGGGTTATTTGGTAAGGATATTCTGATGATTGTAAGATGTATTCAAATAGACGACACTAGAGCTGAAATTGTTTTCCACGTAATGATTTGTCAAACTCTCTTTTAGATCGACTGAACCTATTAGTAGACCCCTAGATGTTATGTTTCAAAAGAAAATATTTCTAAAAGAATAGAATATTTTACTAGACGTAATAATTACAAACTAATGTCATATGTTTCAGGCTATCGCCCCTTGGTGTGTTCTTCCTGGTGACTGCAAAGATTATGGAAATTGATTCATTTAAAGAGCTGGTGGGTCGGCTGGGGCTGTACTTCATGACGGTACTGCTTGGGTTGTTCTTGCATGGATTCGGAACACTGAGCATCCTGTTCATCCTGGCCACCAAGAAGCTGCCGTGCCGGTACATTGCGAAGATGGGACAAGTCATGGCTACTGCTTTTGGTACAGCCTCTAGGTATGTTTCCTTAGATAAGTGTTTTATTATGGGTAGTAAACGTAATATTTGAAATCGGATTGTTCATCCTTTTATTTACATTTGTAAGGTGTATCTAAGGGCACCGTACTGGGGCCTACTTCTGTTAACTTTGACTAATTAATTGTATCGTTATTATACCTTTCATTTTATTTTAAAGGCGTACCCCACAGGTTCTTCTTCTGCATAAAGTATTGTATCACAATTTCAATCTGCCATTTCCAGCTCAGCAACAATGCCAATTACGATCGGTTGCTGTGACGACATGGGTTTGGACCCTCGCATCACTCGGTTCGTGATCCCCATCGGCGCCACCATCAACATGGACGGAACAGCTCTGTATGAAGCCGTCGCTGCCATCTTCATTGCTCAGCTCAGGAAGGTCGAGATGTCATTCGGCAAGATTATTGCTGTCAGGTGCGATATAATATAATATGATAATTTGTATTACCTCATATAGATTTGTACTTTATTATTATCCTTGCTACTTTTATAAATTGAACGTTAAGTAAACTGTTTTTTTTTAAGTTGTACAAGGTTAGTTTTAGTGAATGTTGAACATATAACTAAAATACATATTAATACGCTTTTGCGAAATATGTTTTCAACCACTATTAAAAATTTGCTTCATTTGAACTTAGTTGATAATCTATTGATTTTTTTACCTGTGACTTGTATTGTTACGTTGAATTTTAACGATTGTTAAGCTTTTACGTAAGTGCATTTTCGAGCACTATTTCCTTGGTACCATATGCATATTAAAAAAAATTGTAGCAATTTTGTGACGATATAATAGTCTAATTTCTTAACATACAGCTCTTCTAACAAAACTATGAACCGTGTGATATTTTCAGTGTGACGGCTACGGCAGCGAGTATAGGTGCAGCCGGTATCCCTCAAGCCGGGCTGGTTACCATGGTGATGGTGCTGGACACCGTCAACCTACCAGCTGAGGACGTGTCCATCATCCTCGCTGTTGATTGGTTGCTGTAAGTCATTCTATCGACTTGTTTTGTCTGATTAGTGACAGGTCAACTTAACTGACAGATGGAATTATTCATCATCAGCCTCCTCCATAATCCTACAGACGCAAACAATTAAAAGATCATTCTTAGATTAATCTAAGACTGATCTAAGTTTTCTACCAGAACTTCAATAGATTAAATATTATGTTTTCGACTTACTCACGTAACTGTTTGACGAGTAACTCTACTAGTTTTAAACCAGAGGCTCATATTCATGAGCAGCATTGCACGACCCGCGACGCGGTGACTATCGCGCTGCTACTCATAACGTAACAATTAATTTAGTATGTCTCACGAAAGTTTTAAAATAAACAAGATCAATAGAAGTTAGAAATAATCAAACTAAATTCAAACTATATATTTTACCATTACTTTACAAATGCATGACCAACAATTTTCTCCAGTGCCACCACCCGGTTTCATGTTCTTTCTTGCTATTTGGTCACTTTCAAGATTACTCTCTCAGTGGAAATAGTATTAGAGACATCTGATAATCCTCTGATGAATCGACGAGTCATTTATGGTAGAAGATAGTCGTAGGGACAGCTCTGAACTTTGATCTAATTCATTAGCTCATGGATATGATGGCTCATTTGTGAATGGGCCCAGGGTTACTATACAGTTAGGTATTTAGTGCAATGCGATAGAGTTACAAGTAATTAATGTGCATGCTGTCATCCATCCCTTTTTATTAATTGTCCTAGTCACAATAATTATACTGAATGTGACATCACATTTCTAGACGTGGAATATTGTAATTGTTTAAACGATTTAAAGTCGTAATCTTCGCACCTCATACTTTTCAGCTTTGTTAAACACTAAGAACAATCTTCGCACTCTATCTAGTCCGTGTCTAGTCTAACTTTGTTATTTTTTGTATTTCAGCGACCGATTCCGTACAACGATCAACGTAGTGTGCGATGCTTTGGGTGCCATTATTGTGACGTCACTTTCACAGGGTGACATTGAAAAAACCCGGGCTGTCAATAACGATAGGGATGGGGCACCCTCGCACGAACTCACCGAACTAGAGAAGGGCGACCATTGAACTGAAAATAACGGAAAATACGTCCACCATTGATTTGTGTGGACAGACAAAAAGGAATAACGTTGGAAGAAAAAAATAACAGTCTATTGTCATCTTGAGTTGTTAAATTGATAACGAGTACGTACAATTTGAGCTTTAAAATTAAATCAATGTTTCATATCAATAATAGTTAAAAAATAGCTGAAAACATTCTGCTTTCTGCTATTTGTCGAAAATCTAAAAAAGACAAGAATTATTCAGTGTTAAAAATAAATTTATTGAACGCGTTATTTTAAGACAATAACGTTGCAGTAACCGTTATTTCGTGATGAAGGAAAACGTCTTTGTATAAATATTGATGTTTTGGGATTACAATGATAATGGTACATAATTATATCAGTGTATATTGCGAATATTTATTATTTAGGAGAATTCTTTACAATTTATAACTGTATGTATATTAAAATATATGAGACGTAAATGAGACTCTCTATCTATCGTATTACTCATTTTGATGTTCAAAAATTGATGTTTGTCGAAAGATACGTATTAAAATACACATTATCAGTATTTAGTATAAATACATTGAAGTAAATGTTAGAAGGAGCTTACAATGTGTCGGTGTGTTCTATATGTGCCATTTTAAGTAGCTTTAAAGTAGCTGTCGTTATGATGTTTAGAATTTTCGACTCTATACATACTGTATTACTGTTTGAATCAGATTATTCTAGTAGTGATTCACATTGTGTCGCCTATTTAATACAGTCATTTAGAAATAAATACCTTTACTATGACGTGGGAATTTTGTACTATTCTCAGCTATTTTGCTACTACGAAATTTTTCCTGCCCTTTTCTGAAGCTTTTTTCTAACAAAATTCAAATTTAAATATATGACAGATAATGTCGATTTTCGATTGGACAAAAATTCTTTGGATATTTAAAGAAATGTGTAGCTGAATCTTCCCATCTATTTTTGTATGAATGTACATTAGAGTCGATTGTGTATGTTTATCTAGTAATGTGTTTGTATTGTAAGTAGGTGATATTAATGTTTAAAATTGATTTTACCAACAACTATATTGATTTTGACAATTATTATTTCATATCCGACTCGTTAGTACTTTTCGACAAGTATTTTTATTGCGAAAAAGTACTTAATATCGCAACATTGTACTATTAGTACCATCTGATAACTAAAACATCTAATTGTTGATAAAATCAATTGCTATTAACTTTCATGGCATAATATCGTGTTTATAAAATGGTGTACGATTTTAAACGCGTTTTCATTTCGAGAGTTTTGACAATGAATATTAAGTTATCTAAGTTGTAAAACGTAAACGATTGAGTGCAAGATGTATGTCAAAATTACCTGTTTCGCCATCTTAATGTATTAGTGAGGATAATCCGAAATGGCAACCGCTTAAAACCGTATGTCAAAAGTAAACAACGATAACATGTAGGTTATAATTATAAAGTTTAACGGAACTATAACGTTTAAAGACAGCCTGCATTCCACTCGTTTCAAATGAATACATGACACCTAGTGTTTAGCTTCTATTTATTTACATTTGTTAATAATTGTTTTATCGTTGCAAACGATATAAAATACCATTAGTGGTTCGTCTTTTGTACGTTGATTTATGCTGTTTCACCGTTTTCTGATTCAGACAAATGCAATAGGTATTGCATAGTGGGTATTGCCACTTGAAAACAAATTCAGTCATTCAGTGATATTTGGTCGAATATTTATTATGAATTTTGTTTTATAAACACATTATCATATATCACAAAAACCGCTAAGACTAAGTATTAAGATCAACCTAAAATGGCGGCTAAATAAAAATAATTAGTATGTATGTATTATAATTATTTTTTTCGAAATCGGTGAAACAGTCTAGTATTATATGAGTTACTAAGTGATTCTCTAAAGCAATATAATTTAATGAACTAGTTATTCGAATTAGTTACGTCATAATTATATTATGTATGTTAAAATAATTTATTGTATCGACCACTGCAGAGGGAAAGTCATTCAATTGTGGCCAAATATTAGTAGTAAGTTATAATGACTATCGTAAGATATTTTACCGATTAAATTATTATATTTAACCACATTTATGTACGTAGAAGTAATGTTCATAATAGTCTCTAGTCCGCACTTTATCATTAGACCGTTATAATTGATTATTAGAATAAAATTCAATGTTATTATCGTGGGACGGTGACGAGCATATCTGGAAAACATCGTTATATTACATCGGTATACATAAAATAACTTATTTTGTTATAGTTATCGTTATCGGTATGTATTGTCGCACTAAGTCTTGTATTATTAAAAGTCATACCAAATATTATAATGTAAGTACAAATTATTTATTGATGTCGGCTCATGATTCCCTGTTTTTATTTAATATGGATGTTATTTTAAATAAATATTTGTGTGAAAACTGGTTGTTTAATTATGAAGGAATTGAAATAACGACACTCTATTTATTCAATTTTTTATTTATAAAATTTATCTCTTGCATTAACTTAGGATTACGATTTGGTACAAAAATTCATATCTCTTTGTATGTATAGAGCTGAGTCTCTATCACCTCACAGCCAAGTACACTTTTATACTACTAAACAAAAAATAAAAGAATCTTTACATTAAAACTATAGTTTAAACAAAAACAACCTTTAAAGAAATAACAATAAAGTAGTGTTTGGTATCAAAATACCTACTTAGGACTTATCGTCTGTCAGTCAGTCTTATTGAATAAATATATACGTAATAACTTAAGCGTGTTCTCAATGGAATGTATTAACTTTACATGCTGGAAAACGATGAGTATCCTAGTTGTGTCGAGGAACTAGAGAATCAATGGATACTTGTCAATCGTTATTGGACCTTAGCCCCGAAATAAGAAGTAACAATATCAATTGATGAAGCCTCATTAAACTATCTATTAGCTAATAATTAAGGACTATATTTATAGCTACTTCACTTATAGGAATGTTACATATCAGTGCGTAACACTCAACAGTTATAACTATATTAATCTACTCACAAGGCATGGCACAAACCGCACGAACCGTAGTCTTTGTGTAACTTATCGCAACCTAGATATGTTTCAAGACTCCCCCTTAAAGCTTTCTTTTATACACACTTAGATTTTTTTACGATATTCAATCCCCTTTCGCAACGAGTTACCATCCAGAAAAAATAACGTCGATAACGGTTTTTAACAACCGTTATTTTGTGCCCAACACTTTTCAAGTCATAATAGTCACAATAGATTCCAGAATAAGTTTGTTATTTTTTTTTATTCAAAACAAAAAAGAACAAATAGGTAAATGATCTAGATTTTCATCTATGTTGAATTTCATAATAATTATTAAGTGCTCCCACGTAACTGTTCAGTTTTTGATTCCATGATTGGATTAATGAAATTGCTACACGAACAGCTATGGAGTTGGCGCTATAATTGCACGACAAAAAAACAAAACAAAACGTCCTATTCTTATTCCGAATTGGAATTTCGAAATTCAAGCACCGTCAAAAGAATTTTCTTAAGTATTTGTAAGGCGAATAGAGGCTATACCATGCCGTTACCGACATGATTATTATTTATTGTGTTCCAATGTTTCTGTGACCCATTTTGTGCATTATATGAGTCCCGTCGGCCGTTGCGCTCGCTTCCCATAGAGTTCCTGGCTCTGGCAAGCGTTGCTGCTGAAATCTCCATCGATTCGCCGTAGGGGAGTCTTGAACCACGTCTCATACTGCCGCTTCTACATCGGACGTTCTGTAAAAGGAAAGTAATGTTATTACGTTGATATATCGTATCGAAAATTTGTTCATACAAAAGTAGTCTCTAAACATCGGAAATAAGGTCTATAATGGACTTAGGGGAGAGCAGTCACCGCTTGGGGGTTGGGCAGTTAAGTATTTTACTTTATTTACAGTATAATTATATATACAAGCTCGCGTAGTTTCAAATAGGGTACATGCACATACTATTTGTCCAAGTGATATCTGTTAGACATAAGCACAGGAAGATTAGTATAAAAAAAGCGTGAGGATTGAATTAATTGTGATAAATAAATTAACACTGAGTAACTACATTGAATGAAATGTGTGAATGGAATGCGTATAAATTGAACGACCATGCGATGCATGCACTCACACGCCTCATGAAACTGTTTATAAATATTTAAACATGTAGGTACGAGGATATCCTTGATTATTACATCACGCCTTTTATCCCCGAAGGGATAAGTAGAGGTGCACATTATGCCGTTGTACAATGTAACACCTACTTTTCACTATTTACGTTATGAGTCCCATGTAATAGGGGGTGAGCCTATTGCCATATACCGGGCACAATTACAAACTCCGTGTTACTACTGAAAAATTATTTTTAAACCCAGTAATACTTTGCCCAACCCGGGAATCGAACCCGAGACCCCTTGCCCGGCAGTCGCACTTGCGACCACTCGGCCAACGAGGCAGTACTTGATTATTTTTTTGCATATTTAGAGGAGCATGTAAACATGTATTTAAAAATATTAAATGCTTAAGTAAATAGAGAGCAACCGCATCTTAATAAACGACGTAATGTGTCTCACCAGCGTCAGTCGTTTACCGACTGTTGTCGATGCAACATCATAGAATTGAAACGTCAAATCAAACTGTCAAACACCGCGAGGCCACCGGTGACCGCAACCTACATATTGTTCTTTAAACTGTCAAACACCAAGCGGTCACCGGTGACCGCGACCGATTGTTCTTTAATCTATATATATAAAATTCAAAGGTGATTGACTGACTGACTGACTGACGTAGTGATCTATCAACGCACAGCCCAAACCGCTGGACAGATTAGGCTAAAATTTGGAATACAGATAGATGTTATGACGTAGGCATCCGCTAAGAAAGGATTTTGATAATTTCCACCCCCAAGGGGGTAAAAAAGGGGATGAAAGTTTGTATGAAACTTTGTCAGTTTTTAACTGATCGGGTTGAAATTTGGCACGCAAATAGATGTTATGACGTAAGCATCCACTGTGAAAAGATTTTGATAATTTCCACCCCCAAGGGGGTAAAATAGGGGATGAAAGTTTGTATGAGACTTTGTCAGTTTTAAACCGATCGGGTTGTAATTTGGCATGCAGATAGATGTTATGACGTAAGCATCAGCTGTGAAAGGATTTTGATAATTTCTACCCCCAAGGGGGTAAAATAGGGGATGAAAGTTGTATGTGACTTTGTCAGTTTTAAACCGATCGGGTTGAAATTTGGTATGCAGATAGATGTTATGACTTAAGCATCCGCTTAGAAAGGATTTTGATAATTTCCACCCCCAAGGGGGTAAAATAGGGGATGAAAGTTTGGATGAGACATTGTCAGTTTTAATCCGATCGGGTTGAAATTTGGCATGCAGATAGATGTTATGACGTAGGCATCCGCTGTGAAAGGATTATGATAATTTCCACCCCCAAGGGGGTAAAATAGGGGATGAAAGTTTGTATGAGGCTTTGTCAGTTTTAAACCGATCGGGTTGAAATTTGGCATGCAGATAGATGTTATGACGTAAGCATCCGATTTGAAAGGATTTCGATAATTTCCACCCCCAAGGGGTAAAATAGGGGATGAAAGTTTGTATGAGACTGTCAGTTTTAAATCGATCGGGAAATTTGGCATGCAGATAGATGTTATGACGTAGGCATCCGCTGTGAAAGGATTTTGATAATTTCCACCCCCAAGGGGCTAAAATAGGGGATGAAAGTTTGTATAAGACTTTGTCAGTTTTAAATCGATCGAATTGAAATTTGACATGCAGATAGATGTTATCACATAGGCATCTGCTAAGAAAGGATTTAGATCATTTTCACCCCTAAGGGGGTAAAATAGGGGGTGAAAGTTTATATGAAGCTTTGTCAGTTTTGCACCGATGCAGATGAAATTCGGCATGCAGGTAGATGTTATGACGTAGGCATCCCCAAGTAAGGATTTTGATTATTTCCACCTCCAATGGGGTAATGTAGGGGATGAACGTTTGTATGAAGCTTTGTCAGTTTTACACCGATCGGGTTGAAATTCGGCGTGCAGATGAATATTATGACGTAAACGTCCCTTTAGAAAGGTTTTTGAACATTCTCACCCCAAAGTGGGTAAAATAGAGGGTGAAAGTTTGTATGATACTTTGCCATTTTTAAATTGATCGGGCTGAGACTTTGCATGCATAAAGTTGCAATGACATAGGTATCTCCTTAGAAAGGATTTTGATAAATTCCACCCCTAAGGAGCTAAAATAGGGAATGAGAGTTTGTATAAATCTTCTTAGCCATTGAATTTAGAACCATTGATTCTTTTTGAATTAAATTCGGTAAAACGATGATTTGGGACCTGGGTAACGTATGATAGTTTTTTCACAGATGTCTCACGAGAACGGGAACTATGCATCAATGCCCCAGGACTCTCTAACTCTTAACCACTGAACTTATTCTAGAGAGATTCGGTACAACAATAGTCGATAGAATAGTTTTTATTACTCAAACCTTACGTGATCGGGCACTGTACTGGTAATATCCCTGCGGGATTATTTATTTATTGAAACTACGATAAATAATTTTCAAAATAGGTAAATCTTACTTGGGCACTGAATTCATTCTGGTTAATTCTGTCAGAAGTCATTAATCTACGCGGACGAAGTCGCGGGCAACAGCTAGTTGTGTCTATAAAACCGGTACTCGACGAGTTAATTGTGTCTATAATGACGGTACTCAAAGGGTTAAAGATGCATTGAGTGTTTAATGTTTAATGACGACAATGACAACATATGCTTCATTCCATACAACACATAGATACACATATATAGTATAGATATGGCCCCAGAACTTACGAAGTAACTCACCCGTCCCGCGCGCCACGACCACCGGTTTCGGTTGAACACGCCGTATACGATAGGGTTGGCGCATGAGTTTGTACATGAGAACAACCACATCGCCTTCTGAATCACTGGATCCAAACTCTTTAGAGATTCTTTGTCGATCCAGTACCTGGAAAAGTTAATAAAGTGTTTGTTTTTATACATTATCGCAGTTTAAACAATAATAACAATAAAATCGTTTATTAAACACAAAAACTTCCAAGCGATGTAACAGTATTCTAATGTTTACATTATTAAACAATTATACTAATATACGACTTACTTTTAAATAATCAAAGATATATTTAGGAATATAATTAGCTATTTTTTGTTATACTGTTTGGTTGGTATAAGGCATATTGGGATGAGAACGTTTGTAAGTCAAAACTAAAATGTTAGTAATGTTTTTCAATGAATATAAGTTGTATTTTGCCAGTAACAATATTTGATATTTTAGTCCTTTAAATAAGTTAAAAAATAGTCTACTACATCATTAATAAAACGCAGAATAAAATCTACAAATGAGAAAAAAATTACATCCACAAAGTATTTGTTTAAACTTACCACAAACAATAACAGTAGTAGGGTGACCAACATGTAAAAAAGACTAGAACTATAGTGACTGTCATCTTGAGTGTCCGAGCTCGCGCCCGCCCGAGTATACCCACGCCGCTCCGTCGCATCTTATCTGAAAACATAGTTGATAGATGTGAATTTTTTACTTCTTTATAAAATTCAATAAAATGAATTAATAATAGTATACAAGTTGAGAGTTTAATACTTTATTATGCTTTGCTTCTAATGATACAAATTAAATTTTAAAAACGTAGAGTTAATTTATTTGCTGGTCTGTTGACTGGAACTGTTTTAAATTTAGAACGAGTTAAAAATATTGGGAAACAAATATGAAGTTAAGCACTCCGTGTTTCGACATCAATTAGGGTCCAAAGATAAAAATCTCTAAGGTTCTAAATTTAAATTTTAAAACAAGACTTTACTTACCATTAGAAGTGTTAGATCTCCGAATGATTTCCAACAAAGCTGCCGAGGAGCAGTACAGCGTGGACAGCAGTGGGATGACGTACATGAGGATCATGTTCACTAAGAAGTACGCAAACTCGTGGCACTCCGTCGGCAACGACCCGTACGACACGCACTGGTAGTACCTGGAAATGAAACGGGTTACTCAATCATCATCATCAACAGCCTATAAATGCCCACTGCTGAGCAAAGTCTCTTCTCACACAGAGAAGGTTTCAGCATTAATCACCACGCTTGCTCAATGCGGGTTGGCGATTTCAAACTTATAATTAGAAATTATAAGTCCAGGTTTCCTCACGATGTTATTCCTTCACCGTTTGTCAGTGGTGTCTAAATAATCTTAGAAAGTACATATAACTCGGAAAAAGTCACATTGGTACTTGCCGATGGTAGGTTTCGAACCTGCACCCTTATGCGTGAGAAGACTTAATAAATTATACATATTAATTAATCGCTTTAAAAATTAGTGACACGATTGTGATGATTTATGTTACTATTCTAGATATAGAAGAGATCAAGGATAGGTTTTAAGAAGATTGTTATTTTCAAATGAAAATTAGCACAATAATTCCTAATCCCCAAAAGGCCGCACTTGTACCTCTGGTGTTCCAGGTGTCCATGGGCGACGGCGATTGCTTACCATCAGGTAATCCGTCTGCTAGTTAACCGGCTTATCCCATAAAAAAATACAGTTCTAGCATGTATGGCTAGAACTGTGCTTATTTTAGTACAATGTATGACTTTGATTTCGTTCTACAGAAACATCGTTTAAGCCTTTAACTGCCGATAAAGATTGCTAAAGGCTAGCGTCGGTCATCATTGTCCAATGTTTTAAATATCGTTTTATCCACACAATTTTAAAGGGGCGAGAAAAGGAACAAATTTGAAACTATAACGCCATTTTTTTCAGGCATTATGATAAAGAAATACAGACACAAAACATTAATAAACGAACACATAAATGGCATATCATTACCATAATAAAGTTTCGTAATTAATAAACATATTACAGAAGCAATAATCGTAAAATTACACTCTCACTTATGTTACGTCCTAACGACAGACTGGCAATAATGACCCACGCACGTGTAATCATGTTTAGGTATTGGTATTAATATTGATCTTCCATTAATCTCCTCTCAACACTTTCGACTGTTAATTACTCTTGTACATTAAATTAGTTTTACTGACTATGATAATATGTATTATATTAGTCTACGAGATGAATAGTCTATGTTATGACTGCCTCGTTGGCCGAGTAGTCGTAAGTGGGAGTGCAAGGGGTCTCGGGTTTGATTCCCGGGTCGGGCAAAGTATAACTGTGTTTTTAAAAAAATCTCAGTAGTAGCACGGAGTCTGGAATTGTGCCCGGTACATGGCAATAGGCTCACCCCCTATTACAAAGGACTCATAACATACCTCTAAATAGTGAAAAGTGGATGTTACTTCTGTGTGCACCTCAGTCTACCTCTACGGGGATAAAAGGCGCGATGTTATGTTATATTAGTCTATGATATGACTCTTTTTTCGGCGCCTACCTATTATTTTTTTATGTATTTTATTTTTGTTAAAGGAATAGTATCGAATACAGAATAATGGAGTCAGTTAATTTTATACAAACTTTAATTGAGTATGCTGACAGTGCTTATTTGAAGTATCAGACAATTACATGAAAACATCATTTCTATTTAAAAATTTTCCGCCCACCCATAATATATCAGTAAGTATGTCAATATATAACAGACTCGATAACCGGATTACATCAATCCGGTTTTTACGACCAGCGTCGGCCGGTCAAGTATTCCATTTACTCTAGAACAGTAATGAAATCTATGGATATGCTGATTGCTCTCGTAAATGTAGATTTTATTGCATTAGTAATAAAGTTTAGATTTAGCTAAAAGCGTGTACTCATTTTCTTGAAAGTGGACTTATCTTAATACACTGAAAAATGAGAAAATATTTCATGTCAATCAAAGGAATATATACTCAGTTACTTGTACATAAATCTGATATTAGAATAGTTATTCACAAAACATTGTAAAACATCACACATCTGCTACAATGAAGATTAAACTTAAACTATAAAACAATAAAGTCACATTTGTATCATAGACACAACATAAACACCATTCATACTCATTCGCGAATCGGCATTCGATGCAGAAATACTTATAATACCTATCATCGCCCGTTAGATCTAGAATCGTAAACGTATACAATAATCTAGACTGGATTATGGGATGAAACATAATCGAGAATGTGGAACAATCGTTTAGAATCGATGCCAGCGTTTCATCGGATTCCTATCCGTTGGATCATGTTTACGCAACATTCGATCAAAGGGAACAGCGTGCATTCCTGCTCCAATATTGGTATGAATGTCTAATAACAATTTTCGTTTTATATATATACATATATACTAGCTGACCCGGCAAACGTTGTTTTGCCATATAAATAATTTCCTAGTAATTTCTAGTGTAGACAAAAAAGGCTATTAAAAATAAAGGATTGATTGTAGAAGAGTGAAAATTGAGGATTGTATGTATTTTTGTAAGTTGTATCATAAAAAAATAGAAATTAAAAATTTTGTCTAAAAAATAAAAAAAATAATTTAGGGGCCGATTCTCATAGATACCGGATAAGCACAAAAAATTTCATTAAAATCGGTCAAGCCGTTTCGGAGGAGTATGGCAACGAAAACTGTTACACGAGAATTTTATATATTAGATTTAAAAACGTTGCCCCCACACTAGGATCTTCTCCTGTGTCGTGGGTGTGTTTACAAACATACAAGTTCACATACACATCACACCCAGACCCGGAACAACAATCTGCGGATCACACAAAGAGTTGTTGCGTGCGGGAATCGAACCAGCGACACGTTGCGCAGTAGCCAGTTGCCGCGCCAACCGTGCAGTCAATATTCGTGACGTTAATAGAATTTCCTGTAAACTGAACTTTATTTGTTGATGTGAATACTTAAATATGTGAATAGAATATTAAATAGTATTCTTTTGTATATTCCTGCGTACTGAGTGGAAACCCAACATAACAGTTTCATCACCTTTTAAGCATAGGTACATTATATGTATAAGATTTATAGTAGCTGGTTGATTTATATATCTGTCCCATGACACAGACTAACAGCTCGTTTAAAAATACAAGAATTATCGTGGACATTTTTTATTAACTAAAGATGAGAGTCTTCCTCGTTACCAGAACCTCTGTCACTCGAAACTAGTCGAGCTTTTATCAGTATATCTACGTGAGTAAACCATTATGTTTAGGTAATTTGGTATGTCTCACAATAGTTATTATGGTATGGTGGGGTACTAGAAATTGGAAGTCAGGCGTGAAGTGACATTGGCAAATTATCTTCTGAAGGTTTTAAGAGATAACACACAAAAACTCTGGTATATTTTCAGAGATAGGTTTTTGTATGCCAGACGAGTATGTGGCGCGGCGGCGCCGGCCGCTGCTGCTGGTGGTACCGCGGGCGCACACCAACCTGCTGGAGTGCGCGCCGCTCACTCGTGCTTTGCGCACTCTCAACACGGTGGCTGATGTAGTAGACATATTTAACTGTACACTGAGCGAGTTCACAAGGACCACTTACTGTGTAGTGTGTAAGGAAATATAGTTTGCAGTTAAGATTTAGTATATATAGTTTATAGTTTAGGAAACGTATTTTAAGTTACTATTTCGAATTAAGTTAAGTAATCTGTAATGGCAAAGTAATAATAATTAAGTAAATAAATAATAAAAAAAATATAAAGACATTTTTAATAAAATTAACATCAAACGCACTAACAGAAATCTTGAGCAAAACCCTGTAGATTAAATACGTGTATGTTATGTATCCGAGTACATAATTCGCTTACGTCAATCCTTAAAGGATATACAAATGAATTGGAAATGTTTTCCCTGATTTCATTGGATAATAAACAATACCCTTGATATATATCGTTGTCGAGACAACACATTATTGTTTTGTACAGACGTACTTGTCTGCTCATCTGTTACATTTTACCTTTATGAGTTCACGATTGGAATTTTTTTATTTGAATTTTCCTCTGATGTCTGCCACGTATTTCATATATTCAATTAATGTGATGTTCGTCTAAGCAGTATCTTTTGATATTATGTTTTTGGTTATGCCAGAGATAAACTTGTATTGGGAATTGGATCGATTTGTGGTAATTTTAAATCGGTTTTGTGTAGTCAAATACCTATATATAAAAATTTTATGATGGTACATTAACTCGTCGAGTACCGGTTTTATAGACACAATTAAAGAACAATAGGTCGCGGTCACCGGTGACCGCTTGGTGTTTGACAGTTTAAGAAAAGCGATTTCATAAATAAAAAGTTATATAGAATTATTATTAAAACTGACATGTTTACAACATAAGCAAAGAAAAAATAAGTAAATATGTACAACACCTGTTGAAATATCATCCCTTAAATTTGGTTATACAAAAGTAGTCTCTAAACATCGGAAATTAGGTCTATATAGTAGTTTGTGGAGAGTGGTCACCGGTATTAAAACAATTTTACTTATACCAACCTATTTGTATATAGTTAGTTACTTAAATGACATGTGACTAAATTCGAGATCTCAAAATGATATGTTGACCTTATCAAATGTGTTATAAACTCCCAGGACGATACACTGACCCCATTTCAAATATAATCCACATATGTATTGAAACGAGTTTCAAATACCAAGCGTATGAATGTGATGGAGTTTATTTTTGATAGGTTTCGTCGTCCTATGTTAATTATCCCTTATGTGAGTGACGAGGTACCCGGGTACCTTTGGCATTTTCAAATTTAACGAAAAGTATGTTTTACGCTCTGTAGGTAGCTGTGATTTCTTGAGAGCTCTTAACTATTTATAAATTATATATTTTTTGATGTTTTGACCCAGTCAACTATTTACAACATTTTGTGGAAACTAAAACATATTTTAAACTTACAATAGAGTGACAAGGTACCCGGGTACCTCTTTGTGTTTTGTATGAAAATGAAAAAAAGTATTTCTAATTTCGTGCAAAAATGAAATAAGAATCGTTTATTATAATGTTTTATTTCTATAAAAAATACAAATTATTTGTTTATGCAGAATTAGTACAGCTCTCACAGGTATTACATGTTGGACGAGTTACTGCATGTTCATCACAAACTGGTTTTTTACAGTTAGTGCAAGCTTTTCGTGTTTTTCTTTGCTTGCGTTTAAGTTCTCTGCATATGTAGCAACTTCCGACGACTGCAACACGCCCTGTAGAATCTCGTCTAGTCTGACTTATAGAAGTTGTAGATCTAGAAGGAATCGAAAGCCTTAGCTCTTGGCCAAGCACGTCCTGCATTGCAGATCTCACATGTAATTTTCATGTCACAATGGAATTTTTTGATCTTTCTTCTATATTTTTGACACACAGTTGTAGACTCAATGATTTCAAAAACTTTCTACGTCTGTCACTCGAGACAAATTGTGGGTTATGTTCCATGTAAATGATATATGCTGCCAAAGCTGCAATGTCGATGATATTGTAAAAAAGTGCTAAAGGCCACCGATTCGTTCTGCGTTTTACGGTATATTCTGCTAACAGTTTATCCATATTGTACACTCCACGTTAAGTTATTATAATATAAAATTATTTCTGGCTTGGCAGTTTCCTTATCACTTTCAATAACTGGTGACATGTGCATTGATGACAACATTATTACTGCTTTATTCTTTTTAGTACATAGGAGCACAAAGTTGCTTCTTTGCTAAAGGCGAAGTTAGAAGAATAGATCACTCTCTCCTTGTGTGCTTGCATATTTGGAGGAATAAAACGTTTATTTTTTCTTACCGTTCCAACTAGTGTCATGTTCCACGAATTCAAGGAATGAGCCAGTTGAAGAGACGTAAAAAAATTATCTGTAGTTACATTCAGTCCTGAATTTTTATATTTAGCCACGAGATCACTTGACTTTCCTGTATATATTTGTCCATTTAAAGTGTGGGTAACGTTAAAACAGACCTTTGTTGTTTACATTACGTCTAAACTGTATGAAGGTACCCGGGTACCTCGTCACTCTAATAAAGTTGTTTTATTTGTCACTCACATAAGGGTTATCAATGAATATTTATATGGAGTCAATGTACTGGAGTATTGGAAAGTTAGGTGTTGTCTACAATAAGTTGCCAATTTTCTGAGTATATTCTAACCATAACATTACGCCTTTTATCCCTGAAAGGGTAGGCAGAGGTGCACATTACGGCACTTAATGCCATTGTCCAATGTAACACACACTTTTCATTATTTATGTTACGAGTCCCATGTAATAGGGGGTGAGCCTATTGACATATACAAGGCCATACACAATTTAATTTTTTTTTAAAACTCATTAATACTTTGCCCAACCTAGGAATCGAACCCGAGACCCCTTACTCGGCAGTCGCGAATCACAAAAAAAGTTTAATATAAATATTAACCATAAATTACGTATGTGATTTTAGAATATTATCTTTCTCCGTATATCGTTTTAACAAACGCTTTAGATACAACCTTATTTAATAATAATGTTCTAAGAATAAATTCAATATTTTTCTTGTTCAACGTAGACTAATTTGTAAAGGAGAATATACGACCGATTTTAATTGATAGTTGCGATAAAACCACAACAGACTCGTAGCTCTTAAAATATCTAACTATTCTATATACATTTTAATGATGTACTATAAGTTACATGCAAAAAAAATGCACTTGAAAGATCTTGTCTTTTGAGGAAAATGGACTGAAAAGGTTTGATTTCAATTTGCCTATCTGGAAGACATTGGGGGAGGCCTATGTTCAGCAGTGGACGTCCTGTGGCTGATATGATGATGATAATGATTATAATTTTAACGATTGTCGACTATATTTTACATTATTATTTATATTTCCTTACCCCTTAACATCAGGATGCTCCTCTACGTGGAATATGAAGCTCTGCGGCAGGCTGGCGAGGCCGGCGCACACCCACGCGATAATCAGCGCTCTGCGCACGCGCGCCTCCCATGTCACGTTCAAAGGCTTTAATATGGCGTAGTATCTGAAATAAAAATAAATATTTCTGTTACCTCAAAAATTATCTCTTTTCCGACAATCCGAACGCGCCACATATTAACCTAGGCAATTGGATTATCCATAACGTAATAATATGTAGTAAAGATTTATGATGTAAATGTGAGATAAAGTATCACGAAACCTTTTTCATATTCTCTGATCAGTCCACGTACATACATAGGTACATCAAAGATTTTTTTAATCTTAAAACCAGATATGGTTGATGGAGATATTTGTTATTTTCTTAACATCAGAACACGAAGATTTAAAAAGATTTCACTTTTCACTATGACATAATTCGATCATACATTTAGTTCGATCGACTTCAAAATTCTTCAATTCTTTAAAATACATTTAAGGCATTGGCTGCCAATAAAAAACTGTTGAAGGCAAATCCTCCGCTAATGTCGGTATGTACTGCCATGGCGTTTAACGTGTTAAGTGAGTATTATAATGCGAATCTTGTAGATGGTAGCGGTTTTTCGTAGAAAACTTTTAGTAAATTAATACCACATCACACATGCTTGAAAGTTTGGCTTTGGCAGCCAGCTAATTGCTAAACAAAGGGTTAAATCTAATTTAAAGTTAGTCTATTAATTTAGTAAAGTACTAAACTACATTATAGACTTAAGCTTTCATTTAACGGGTTAATGGTGGATAACGCGATCGATTCGATTCTTGAGGCAGATGTTAATAGTGTGTAAAACCAAAGAGATTGCTTTTCTATGTGTACATTATAAATTGATTAAAAGAAATGGCTATCATTTTGATAATGATAAAATATTTCCTATCTTTATTATCTGAAGGTCTATTATCGTAAGTAGATTCGTTAAAAACAGATCATAAAAACGACTGCTCAACCTTCCATTAATTTGGTCAGTGTTCTACATAAAACAAATGTATACTATATTGTATGGTTCTAACGACCTTTGGTAGTTCGGCCACCTGATTGATTGATCTCGTTCGATGACCCTACACCACTCAGGTAGGTAGGTAGGTATACCTACTGATATGTTCACGTACGTCATTATTCGCAAACAGAGTGCGCAGTTTGTAGTGTTTGATGCGCACTTTCTTGTACGTATCAAGGACGCGAAAATGATTGGTGCTATGATGTATAACTTCATAGTGTTTTACAGTTTTAATAGTATTAGTATTTTTATAGTATAGTGAACTAGAGTGTGCCAGTTCCTTTATAAAGTGACATAAATATTCACTCTAGTTTATATTTTCCCTTTGTAAACATTTTCGTACAAAGTAGCCTTTGAGATTACTCTCATACTATTTTTACTTTTCCAATCTCGGTAACCAAAGTGATAATTACAATGTACCAGTACAAAAGTAACAGAACGCTTGTTTATGTTCACTGAAGTTTCAACTTTAACTAATTGGACGCAAAGTCGGAAAGTCTTTGTCAAAATATTTCAAAGAAATATTTATTAAGTAATATTCTTGTTTTGGCAGCTAAATATCGTTTGTTTCGTTTTAAGTACTGGCTGTAATTAATATTTAAGACAATACCTTGATTAAATTGTAGGTAACAAAGAGGCTACATCACTGGGCTACATACAAGTTCTTTTGTCTGTGGTTATCTCTAGAACTTCTAGAAAGATACTGAGAAGTCGCTATACAATAGTAATAAAAGCTTTTCCTAGGAGAGTAAGAAAGAAAGAAATCATCTATTTGCTAATAATGTAGGTATACATATAAGTTGGAATGAAGTTATTTGACCCAGTACATTTTACCTTTCGGCATGGAAATTAAATTACAATGTGATTTGAATGTCGTCAAGTAGATAACTAGGTATACAGTCAAAAATTTAAAATAATTGTAAAAAAAATTGCTAAAATGCTACGATCAATTATAAGCCATACAAAAAGAAATAAGAGTAGGTGCTAGGCAGTAGTGTGGTAATTGTGAACTTTCCGCTTGTAAGGCTTTATTTCCATTGGTGTACTATCCGTAACATTTCCTAACGGGTATCGTCAGAGAGATCTTTGAAAGCAGACTTCACACATTTTTATACCTGAAAGTGAAAATATGTTTAAATAAACAGGGCGTTGAATCCCAGAAACTAGTCAATTTCGGACCAGGAATCTCATGACTCATTTTGTAGGTAATTAGTTGTATTACTTCCTCCCCAGAGGAATACGTCGAGACAAGTCACCCTGTATAATATAACATTCCTCAGCCTGCTTTATGAAACATTCCTGAATGCTGCGGTCTAGGTAATATGCCACAAGTCTGCTCCTAATATCTAGTGAATATCGCGTTCCGCGCGCGCCTCAAAGAGCCATCGGACCACCACAGATGGGGCCCAATAGGGCCGATGCCGATTCGGAGTCGCGGAGAACCTAACGGGTAACCGGGGCTCCGGCTCGACGTGCAGGAGAAGGAACGGGGTGGTTTTTAGTCAGTAAGAGTCTGACACTCCCTTTCGCCTCACCCAGGCGGGAGCAGTCATTCGATGATTTTCTCCCCTTAAAAAAAAAATATCTAGTTCAATATAAATCTAATATCCAAGTTATTATTGCCCCTAAGAAATCTAGATTGTCAAGTCTATAAAATACACCCATTTTATTTATTTATTAGTTTAACCAACAGTTATTTACACTTATATATTCATTATGTAGTTACGTATAATAAGTCGCTGCTACGACTGCCCATTGGCCAAGTGGTCGCAAGTGCGACTGCCGGGCAAGGGGTCTCGGGTTCGATTCCCAGGTCGAACAAAGTATTACTGGGTTTTTAAAAATACTCAGTCGTAGCAGCCCGTAAGTAGGTATAAGTAGGAGCCCGGAATTGTGCCTTGTATATGGCAATAGGCTCACCCCCTATTACATACGACTCATAACATAAATAATGGAAAGCGGGTGTTACATTTATAAGTGCCATAATGTGCACCTCTGCCTACCCCTTTGAGGATAAAAGGTGTGATGTTATGTTATCTTTATATATATAATTCTTCTGTAAGTGTGTATGCCATTGAAGTTCTCTCAAACGACTGGACTGATGAATTTTTTTGTGTGTGTTCAAGGGGATCTGGGATTGGTTTAGATACACAAATCAGCCCGGCAGATGGCGCTGCAGTCGGTTTCTAGGTTATTTATCTATACCTATTATTACAAGACAACGTCTGTCGGGTCCGCTAGTGTATGTATAATACTTCGCGAGTTTAATAACTATCTACCTACTGGCTAACACAACATGGACATACGAAACGGTTAGAACATTTGGTCTAGTTATTGTTAGGCTCTATAACGATGGAAAAGTGATATTAAATAATAACTTCATTATAAACTGATTCGCCCCTAAAATTGTAAAAAAACCTAATTTTGCTGACCACTGAATTTAAATTAATGTAACTCGCTACTGTTTATGACATTTCTTCAAAAAATAATAAATTGATAATTAAAACTTTGAATGTTTGGTTATTTTAATTATTGTTTAACAGAGCGTTATTACATCAATTCCCAAAAGAGGTTGTCAGACTTATCAAATAAGTGCTTTTAGCCAAACACCACTTTACCGCTTGTCTACAGAGAGAGTAGAAAACTAAATGTATGGGGATAACACTGACAAGTGTCAAAATTTACGTCAATTCCATATCATTTGGTTTTCTATTCTATATGTAGACAAGCGCTAAATGGCTACAGCTGCAGGTTATAGATTCTATTAACTTCTACTTTATATATTTTCTGTAGTAATTGTTTTATATATTTCATGTGTTTGTTACACACACACCACCTACTAGCCTGTTGTGGTTTTGAAATAACATAACATCACGCCTTTTATCTTCGGAGGGGTAGGCAAAGGTGCACATTATGCCACAGTACAATGTAACACCCACTTTTCACTATTTATATTAGGGGGTGAGCCTATTGCCATAGACTGGGCACAATTCCAGACTCCGTGCTACTACTGAGATTTTTTTAAAACCCAGTAATACTTTGCCCGACATGGGAATCGAACCCGAGACCCCTTGCCCAGCAGGCGCACTTGCGACCACTCGGCCAACGAGGCAGAGAGAGTGTATAAAAATAGTCTTATCAAATATAGACTTCTAGGTAATGTACAAATATATACTGACAGCACAGTTGGCGCGGTGGTTGGGCTGCCGCATAACGTGAAGCGGGGTCAATAACACCACCATAAAGAAACTCTTTGTATGATTCACAAATTGTTGGGTGTCGTGTGTATATGAACTTGTATATTAACCCTTTGAGTACCGTCATTATAGACACAATTAAAGAACAATAGGTTGCGGTCACCGGTGTCCTCACGGTGTTTGACAGTTTAAAATTTGTAAACGCACCCATGCCAGAGGAGAAAATCCAAGTGTAGCGGCAACGTATTTAAAGAAAAAAAAATGTTCTAGTACATTTTATTGGAGAATAACTTGAAGTATTCACATCCGACCGGATACTTGAGCCTCGTGCCTCTCAAACGGTCAAAGCGGATTCAAACTCGAAAAATTACAAAGCAAGGTTTGAAATCTGTCGAGACGTGGACATTATGTGACTCGAGGGCTGTTATGTATTTCTGTATATCAGATATTTTTATTTAAAGGTTGTATGTAATATTAGCTAAGTGTAGATAAGTTGTTACGTGAATTATTGGCTTAACATGTTATTATGAATTTTTTTTTATGACATAATTATTTGGCTAGGAATTCTACTAGTTTCAAGCCATGCAAGAGGCTCATATTCATGAACAAAATTCTCATTATCACATTAGTATGTGTTAATCTTTATATACCTTTGACGTAGTAAGTTTGGTTTTTCATCAATGAGTATATTTATCATTAATTTGAACAGGTGTGTTTTTAGTTTTGTATTTATATATAATTCTTCTGTGAGTGTGTATGTCACTGAACTTCTCACAAACGACTGGACCGATTTTGATGAAATTTTTTGTGTGTGTTCAAGGGGATCTGGGAATGGTTTAGATTCACAAATCAGCCCGGTAGATGGCGCTGCAGTCAATGTTTAGGTTTTTTATCCTAAACAGCTGAACTAATTTGAATGAATTTTTTTTTATACATTCAAGTGGATATGCAGGACAACCTCTGTGGGGTCCGCTAGTAAAGTTATAAAATAAATAAATTATAACCTGAAAATATATGACTGATGTAAGTTCATCGTTTTTAACTAATTATGTTCTATGTATAAGCTCTCGGTCGCACTACATTTTTTTCCACACGACATTTAACTATTCTAACCGTGAAACCACCCGAGGGGGCATGCACTGAGATTATAAGCCGCGGAGTCGCCGATGCGCGATAATTACTGTGACATGATGATTTTACATATAATAACACGATAATTATTATAGCGATAGGCATGCTGAATTAACTAAAAATTACGAGTTACTTAAGTAAATATAGCAGCCTACTCGCTACTGATAGTAGGCTGTGTGACATCGCCACGAACACGAACGCTGCTCATGAGGAACATCCCCTCCGTGACCCGTAATTTTTAGTTAAAGATGGTGGTCAATCTTCAGTACCACTTAGTTTTATAAGTTGAATTGTGTGAACAGACTCACCTATCAACAGCTATACAGATAAGCACGAAGCTGGAGAGGTACAGTCCGAAGGTCCTGGTGAACATCATGACTCTGCACATCAGATCCCCTGCCATCCACTGCACGGTGCCCGCCCACGCGATCTCCAGCGGCATCATAAGGAATGTCACCTGCAACAACACTGCTGATCGTTTCATTTACTGTTAGGGCTCTGGATGAACTGGTAGGAGTAAAGATAACCACCTTTTTATCCCCAAAGGGGTTGGCAGAGGTGCACACAGAGGTAACACCCACTTTTCACTATTTATGTTATGAGTCCCACGTAATAGGGGGTGAGCCTATTGCCATATACCGGGCACAATTCCAGACTCCGTGCTACTACTGAGACTTTTTTTAAAAACCCAGTAACACTTTGCCCGACCCGGGAATCGAATCCGAGACCCCTTGCCCGGCAGTCGCACTTGCGACCACTCGGTCAACGAGGCAGTCTGTGTGTGTGTGTCAGTGTTTTTTTTTTAATAATAATAATAAATTGTTTATTTTATAAAAAGGGACATATTTACATGATTAGTATCTTAACGATTTGATTAGAGCTCAGTAGCTTATTTGCCTGAACTAGGTTGAACCTGTGTTTCAGACTACAGACTGTGATAGAAAGTAATGCTCTCAGTCATATAAATATCGTTAGTCTATTAGATTTATTTTGATAGATGATTTGACGTATAAATTGAAACTCAATTCGATTTAATGTTTGAATTTCAATATATTTTTGTAAAAATATACTTCAAAACTTTAGATTTTTTAAATAAAAGTTTTGCAATATAGTGCCCATGAAACAAAATGTTACCCTAGGTAGAATTTTTCAAAATAATTATTTATTTTGTTTATTGATAAAAAGCTTAAAATATTTATGCTATTCTTAATAAATTTATCAAAGTTAGCAACTCATAATTGCAACACTTAAATAGAGTGTCAAGTTCAGTGCAAACTTTTTAGAATCAAAGTCTCGAAGGTGAGGCGAACCACGTGACCGTAGCTACGAGCTGGCTACGCGGACTGGCTACGGCGTAGCGTTACGAAAAACGTGCTACGCCACATGGTCACTCACTAGTCGGAGTCACGCCTCGGAACAATTTGTGATTCGATACGATTCAAGTTCAGCCTAGAAGTGGACGGTTACTGGCTGTTCATGTTAATAAAAAAAGCATAAACATTTATATTCTATTCCAGAAAAAAAATTTTGTTGTTGTTAGTAATTTGCATGATTAGATAAAGTCTTTACTTTTATGATAGGCAGATAGGGTTCCTTATTTGTTTTGTCTAAAACATTACTGGTAAATAATGATAAAAAATGTTAATATTATAATAAAAAAAAATTGTTTTGCCCACCTTCTAAATTCGATAAAGTCTACTCATAAAGTCTTATAAAGATTGGGGTTATTTAATATAAATGGTTCATTAATATGTGGTAATTGAAGATAAAATCTCAATTTAAGGATTATAGGTTATACTGAGGCGTTTTTATTAGTATAAAGTTTAAATTACATGACATCAGAATTTATTCATTGAGATAATATAAAATTATTAATTAACTAGCTGTTACCCGCGACTTCGTTCGCGTGAAATAACTACTTCTGTATAAATTGGGTTTTTTAAATTAGTCTTTGTCAAGGTATATTCTATGGCTGTACAACTGGAACAAATATCATCACAATCGATTCAGTACCTAGGTTATATTTATTGAGAAATGAATTTATTTTCGTGGTTTCTAAAATAAACAATCCCATAGAGGTTTTACCCGTACAGTGCCCGTCTCGTGAGGTTTCACTATTCTATGTTTGCAAATCAATGTTGTATCACATTTCAATCAAATAGATATAGTGATTTTAACAGCAGAGTTCCCGGTTTCGTGGGTTTTTCGGGTTAAAAACTTTTAGATGTCCTTTCCCGGGTCTCAAACTTTCGCTGTACCGAATTTCACCAAATAGATTCAATGGTTTAAAAGGTAAGAGCCCCTATTTATTTCAACGTCCTTGGTCCTGGTTTTTTAGCGTATAGTTTCCGTCATTTTGGGATTTCCTCTCTCCTATAATGTGACCTGATATGTACCGGTGCGACGTGCGTTACTATCGCAAACATTTAAATGAAAAAATAGGTATTCTGATATTAGGTTAGTTACATATGATACATGTACTTTAATGTTGATATTAATGTCCTCTATAAGACTTAATACATCCCTTGGCTCTATTGTCCATAATTTCCACAGCGTAATCAATACCAATAATATAAAGAGTTTTTTTTGGTAGTTTTTCACACATCGGGTTGTCATTACCTAAAGGAGATTTTTTTTTGAGGTCGGAAAATCATCCAATCACTTCTCCCGCCTTGGGTTAGGTGAGAGGGAGTGACAGATTCTTACTGACTAAAATCCACTCCGTTCCTACTCCTGCTCGTCGAGCCGGAGCCCCGTCAACTCGTTAGGCCTCCCGCGGCACCGTATCGAGCATCAGCCCTACTGGGCTCCAATGCTCCATCTATGATGGTGTCATGGCTCTGTAAGGCGCGCGCCGTATGCACGGGACTGGTTCTGGTCGGGTGGCGAGCTACCCTTGCTCTTCGTCTACAGACCCGCACTTACGGTGGCCGGTGGCCGGCCGATCTCCGACGCCCAGAGTGTCTCCCGCGACGGCTGGGGCGTGAGGAAGTTCATTCCCTCACGCGCTCCGCTTTCTCCTTGGCAAGCATAAATGCTTCGCAGAAGGATGCGACTGCATCCCAATCCCCCTCGCTCCATGGCCTGAACCAGAGCCGAACGCGAGTCAGGTCACCGTTTCCTACATCCCTGAGAACACGGCGGTGCTCAGCCCATGCAAGGTACACCGCCACGGTATGCTCCACCGTGTTCTCCGGGCGGTCCTTGCATTGATGGCCTCTCTAAAGCCACTTTTAAAGAGGGGACTTTCCGCTGCAATGACAGCGAGCCCAGCCCTCGGTTACCTAAAGGAGTGTTTCGCTGTGTAAGTGAGGTTACCGGAGGCCCAATTACCCCTCCCCCAGCCCCCCCAATCACTGACAATCCTCAAATTACCAATTCCCAAAAGACCGGTAACGCACTTCTAGCACTTCTGGTGTTACAGGTGTCCATGGGCGGCGCAGATTGCTTACCATCAGGTGATCCGTCTGCTCGTTTACCGGCTTATGCCATAAACAAACAGCAAACTATCATAGTAAATTTGGCCTTGACGGTCTAAAATGAAAAGGACTAATATTATTTTTTAGCTATGTGCATTTAGCTAGTTTTTTTGATATATACACATAAAAAATACGAATTCAAGTAAAATGAAAATATTTTATTCGTGGTTTTATCTCCTTAGACTGCTGTTAACCTCTTTGCATACCTTAATATTAATACCATAGTATAAAAAAAATCTATGACACATTGACTTTGTAAACTCACTTGTCACACAAATGTCAGATGACTTAAGAAATGTATACTAATAATATAAATTTGTATGTGCTTGTTTGTTTGTTTGTCCGTATTTCACGACAGAACGGAGTCAGGAAGGTTTTTGATTTGAGATAGTTGAAAAGATGGAGAGTATCATAGGCTACTTTTTGTCTTTTTCTAACCCCCTTCCACTTCCGTGAAACAGAGGTGAAAGTTTGTATGGGGTATTTTGCAATTTTCAATGTGGAAAGCTAACAATTCGTATGCGGGTTATTTGTGACCAGCATAGAATCGTGCACCATTTAATTTTGTTTATTGTAAATCCTTCCCTCACCCCATTAAAAGAACGCGAGAGAAGCCGCAGACAGAGGCTAGTCTATTAATAAATTGTATTCAGTCAATTGAATTCGTATTTTGTCTTTAAAATCCCTGATCCCTGATGCAGCTGAATACTAATATTATTCCTTGAAAACCAACAGAACTTCATTTTTATATGTTGATGCCAAAATATATATATATTATGGAAGTAGGATGCCATAACAATTACAAATCATCAGGTTGGTTACCATAGTAATGTTACCTGTCAGATATCCGTTTTCAAGTTTTCAGATAAATCGTAATAATTATTCTTAAAAATCGACATAGTCTTACAACCCCTTTTTCGCGATAAAAAGTAGCCTATGTTTTATCTCGGGGTCTAGAATATCTGTATACCAAATTTCATTCAAATCCGTTCAGTAGTTTTGGCGTGAAAGAGTAGCAGACAGACAGACAGACAGAGTTACTTTCGCATTTATAATATTAGTTAGGATTAGGATAATGATACATAAGTTATAAATATATGTCACTATGCTTACGACAATAAAAATAGCGAGAAGCACCTGTCGTTCTAAAACTTCTTCAATTAGACACTACAGAAGTCTGAAACTTAGATACTACAATACCTATTGTTTCCAGACAGTCTCATAATTGTTTTTAATATTATGAACCAAGTATTCTCCTGTAACTGTTACCAAGTACCTTTATAATACTATTTTTTAACTTACTTGTTTATCGAATGTAAAAACAAAAACTAGTGTTCTTTAATAGTTGTAAACTACGTTTAAATAACCAACCGACTTCAACTTCCCCTTTTAGGAAGTCGGTTAATTAAAGTAGGTACTAAAATCTTCTGCTAAGTGTAACAAACACTGTTCTGAAACCCGCATCAAAATCGGTTCAGCCAATCACGAGTTAATAACGCACATACATAAATGCAAGTCAAAGTGAGAACATCCTTTTTGTTGTTTTTAAAGTCGGTTAAAAATCAAAAATAGCTTACCATAAGGTCAGCAACCGCTAAATGCATCAATAGAACATCAAGTCTACTTGCTCTCCCCGCTCGCTTCCTCTTCATCAATTGCGATAGAACTGTCAGATTCCCAGTCGCTGAGATCAGCATCAACACACTGTACACTGTCATTGACACCATATGGCCATGGTTGAACCTCATGTCCAGAGGTAACTCATCGCTGGCATTCGGATGAGACCAGTTCTTTTGCGAGGCCCCACCGGGCCCCGAGACCTTCTCATCTATGTCCATCCTTGCACCCACTTTATTTACCCAACCCCCACGTAGTCAAAACCATGTTTCTATCTTATTATTCATCTGTAACAATAGAAAAAGAAAAATAAGTGAATTTGTACACATGAATATGAGCCTCTAGCATGGCTTGAAACTAGTCGAGTTCCCCGTCAACTTATAATTAATTCCCCGTTAATTATTACGTGAGTAAGCCGAAAACATAATAATTTATTTAGTATGTCTCACGAATGTTACAATACAAAAATTGTACACCTTTTAATTTATCACAGTTTTGTTACGTTTATTATAAAACTTCGGGAATTGTATCAGTGATTCATTAAATTACGAAGTTTATTTTTAATTAAAATCTGTTCTGTTTTTGTTTAAATAAGGAAGATGTCGTTTAAATGTTTTGCTTTGCGAGTAAATATCAATACTCTTGTACCGGAGTAGGTAAATCCTGCAATGTAGATACGATGTTTGCGTTGCATTTATGTATTCAGTCCTTGTATGAAATGAATAAATATTTGTATGACTCCGTTTGATTCAGATTCGTAGCATGTTGCGAATTTCAGATGTAAACATTATGTATGTACTACTAACATTACTTTGTCAAAATATGTATTTAATAAACACAATTGGTTACTTGTGTTTTGAGATTTTTGTTTAACGTAGTTTATTTTTTGTCTACGCCGCCGTCTATCCCCTACGGCTACGTTACGCCTTGTGGAACTTTTATCTGTACATATATTATATACTTTTATTATTCCACAAGAAACTTATTAAATAATTTATGTTAATTGGGTCGCAATTACGACTGTCGTCGGTCAGAATGTTCTATTTAATATTGGAACTTTTTGGTCAAAAATCCTTCATAATTACATGGAACTAATATTTATAGTGATTAGGAATCTAAATACTAAGTAGGTTACCATGTAGTTTCTACTCGATCATAAAATTTTCAATAAAATATATTTACATTTTTTTACATAAGACTTAAATATAAATAGACAGATCTTCAGTAACATGAAAAAGCTTTTAAATGAAACAGTTCTCAACTAAAAACATATTTTTCTGTCTACACTAAGTAATCCAAGATTGGTGAAAGTATTTATTTTATAGAAGGGACTTTGAAGGAGCTTAGTTACAAGAAAACATAATTATTTTTTTGCAAATATTTTTTGAGCGAAACATGGAAATTATAAAGCAGACATTAATTAGTTTTCTAAAACAATACTCTGTACAAATACTGTTCCAATTACGTCATTATCAAAATGTTTGGAATTTTTGACACTGTAGAATTAAAGACAGTTATTAAGTAAAAAAATGATGTTAACTTTTCCTACAGACACACTTTCAGTCGTTAGGTTAGGTTATTATATGCTGTGTGGCTGTGAAAGAGTATATTTGTTACCACCCCTAACTTCTGACACAGGTGTAGGAGCTGACTAAGCAAATACACCCTTAAATCCTTTAACCTCTTGACTGCCGGTATATAAGACAATAGAAAATGCATTGTGTCCCGCGTAATTCTACGTTCCGACAGGTTAATAGATCACCAGCAACCAGGTAACAGCGGTATTCGGTACTCTTGAAGGTTTCAACAAGATCTACTAAGTGGAGATTAGGGCGAACTGTCTCATGTAGAGACGCCCCATAGTCCAGCAGTAAGACAGACTATGTATCCAACGATACGCTATTGGTGTTAAGAATAAACTGATAAGGAACTGCAAAACAGTTCAGGCCCAAGCTTTCGTCAATTGATAATTGCAAGCTTGAATCTTGCGTAGAAATAACCAAAAGAGGAGAGAAAGAACACGGAGCGACAACGTTGCTTCACGTATTCAAATCCGTCTATCGTCATTTGTAGGTCGCATGCATTCGTCAAATGATGCATTATGGACAGTAGGTCTAAGTAAACAGCAACTGTAGCCAAATGCCATTTAGCGCTTGTCTACATCTACATGTAGAATAGAAAACAAATTATATGGAATTGACGTAAATTTTGACACTTGTCGGTGTCATCCCCATACATTTTGATTTCTAATCTCTCTGTAGAGGTAGACAAGCGCTAAAGTGGCGTTTGGCTAGAGGCCCTGGGCAGCTTAATTAGTGTGTTTTAGTTATCCTCCCACTCATTAACAATTTTCTTTTATCACAAAGATAAGTCTATTTCATTGACATCTGCTCTGTTTAGCAATTGGAACACCTATTGATAGCTACACGAAATACAATTAATACAAAGACAGGCTGTAATGAGTCTAAGTTTATCTGTGAACCTAACATTTACAAAGTTCAGGCGCTTTGTGTTACGTACCTATATATGTACGTGTTATTTGTTATATATTCATTGTGTAAGAGAATTGTTATTTACGTGTATATAACGCCTACCACGTATGTATTAAAATTTTTTATGTCTGGCTATGACTGATTTCTTCATGACTATTATTTAACCCTTTGAGTACCGTCAATATAGACACAATTCAATCGATCAACAATTCAATTCGTCAATATAGAAAAAAATCAACCTCGCGGTGTTTGACAGTTTAAATGCGTTACGTAGGTATTATAGTCATATCGATTAGGCTAGTACATAATTTTTATTTTAATATCCGTCTGGTAGATTATTTTAAATCATTAGACACGTATTTTTTATTTTCTTACAGAAACAAATACTTTCGACGATACATTGATTTGAAATGTCGCGTGACGTCACTTCTATGTACATTTTATACGTAGAAATGACGTTTTAGCCCCCACTCTTAAACTTTGATTCTTTTTATGTAAGTATTGTTTTATTATACGACAAAATAAAAAAAAATACGTGTCTAATATTTTTTAATTACCTAGCTTACGGACTAATTATATTTTCAATTTTCGTACCCTGTTATCATCCCAATTATACCCAAATTTGTTTCATGACATTACATTGTTTGACTTATTTTCTTATCTTTTATTGACTGTCTAAAATACTTGGAAAGTTTTCATTCATTATTTGGTTAATATCTCGGACCGCTCCATCAGAACTTAACGTCTTTGTTATTTTAATAATCTCTTAAAATAACAAACAACTAAACTTATAAATATGGATGCCAGTCCACTAAATTATTAAAAAAATATTCAATTAAAAAACTTTTCCACTAATAAAAGAATATTTTCGAATTGCAAATTTTTCATCGCAATTAAAATTAAGCTCTATTTTTAGTTCCGAAAGGTTCTAAACATTTTGTCAGTAGTCAACGGGTATTACGTTTCAGAATAGTTTCATCCCATTCGATCCAAAAGAACCTCTTTGACTTTTGAATTAAGATAGGTTTTGCTATAGCCGATATTTTTTTTATATTACAAAACAGTATGTGAGTTTGTTTATGATATGTGTTATCTATGTATGATATTACGAAAAAAATGTTAGATTTGAAAATAAGAACCTCCAATGTAGTTGGGACAGTTGACAGTTGGGAAAGTTTCGGTAGTCACATACACACGTAAAGTACACCTTTAAAGTAACCAGCAGATTTAAAGTATTTCACATTTACGTCAGCAATCCACCGATAGACAGTTGCCTACTAAAAATAGTTTTAAGTTGGTAGTATACTTTTCCGATACTGACCCTACCTCCTTTCGAAATAGTAACGTAATATGCCACTTACCAGACCATTACCAAAGCAAAATAAATGAATAACTTGGGCAAGGGTCAAAGTCAACTCGACGAGGAATTAAATCAAGGTCGCTGACGTCACAATCCGTTTAGTAGGTAATGACGTCATACGAGATTTGACAAATGTCAAGTGGTTTTTGATGTTTGAATAACTAAATGGGTTAGTGCGACGGACAATGTTTGAATGATTTAAATATAGAAAAAGAGGGTATTTTTTACTTATGGAAAACTAGGTTCTACCAGCGGGTTTGTCCGCGTTACCGTGAAATAAAAAGTGGCCTATGTATAATTGTAGACCATAATCTACCTCTATTCCACATGTCATCTCGAACCCTTTAGCTGTTTTCACGTAAAAGAGTAACACACACATACACACACACATACATTCTCACAAACTTTCGCATGTATTATATTAAGTAAGATATTAGTAAGAAGTAATGACTAAAAACTAACTATGAACACCTCAAAGTAACGTTACCACCTCTTATAGAGGTCAAGTACATCGCAAGTAAGAAGATTATATGAAAAGGGTAGATGAAAGAAGAGTGCGTGCAGTAGAAAATGGCACCATTTTATGCTGGCCATAATAAACTTAGCATAAGATCAGGAAGAAGTTGCAATAGCTTACAAATTACTAATATGCAGTCATGTTTAAAAATGTAATAGAAAAGAATCAAGGGCACATAGTTATATTGTATCGTTTTTAAACAAAATATAGTGAGTGCCAGTGGTGGGATTGGATTTTGACCTTTGTAGCCTTAAAAAAAGTCTTCAAAAGCTTGATTGACATCCTAAAAGAACAAAGTTAATGTTGGTAAAGATAAAAATAGTAGATAGCTATTGCTAAATCTCTACAAGACGAAGTACCTACTGTGTCTAATTTGATTGACAATTTTCTCGAAATATCCCTCATTCTTATTTCTTCAAATATCTAAAAATAGTATCTACTGTATTATTGTTATTAATTTTCATTGGAATACGGTATGATTTTTTGTCATACCGTATCGTACCGAAATCATTTTCGTGACAAACCTCAAAATAGTGACATTACCTTGCAATTATAACAAAAAAGAGACAAATCGAATTGTCCTTTTTTATCGACACATATAAGCTGTTAGACTTGAAAAAATATATTTTCTTTTGCTAAAATTACCATTAATTAATTAATTAAATTAATTATAATTTTGTAGCAACTGTGTAACAGTATCCTCCTTGGTGTTTCTAAGAATTAGTTTAAACGGCAAGTCTTAGTCAGGAATTCCCGCGTGGAATACTCGCTCTGTTTCCTTAACTGGTGTTCAGTGACTGTGGTTGGACTGAGAAATATTCTTGGCCTCCGTTTAGTGGAATATGTTGTTAG